GAAGGAGGGAGGGAGGGAGAGGGAATGAATGAAGGAAGGAAGGAAGGAAGGAAGGAAGGAAGGAAGGAAGGAAGGAAGGAAGGAAGGAACCACTAAAGAGCTTATCCATGTAACCTAAAACCACCTGTTTCCCATAAACTATTGAAATAAAATTAACAATTTTTTTTAAACAAACTCTGATTTTGATTCAGGAATCCTGAAAACCAGAATCACCAGAATAATTTAAAAGAGGTGAATGTTTGCAATCCAACAATCCCACTACTGGCTATCTACCTAAAGGAAAAAAAGCCACTATATCAGAAAGACACCTTCACATATGTGTTTGCTACAGCACAATTTACAATTGTAAAGATTTGGAACGTCCCTAAGTGCCTATCAATTGATGAGTGGATAAAGAAAATGGGACATACACCATAGAATATTACTCAGCCATAAAAACGAATAAAAATAATGCCTTTTGCAGCAAGTTGCATGGAGCTGGAGTTCATTATTCTAAGTGCAGTAACTCAGGAATGGAAAACCAAATAGTGTATATTCTCACTTATAAGAGAGCTAAGCTACAGGTTCACAAAGGCATACAGGGTGGTATAATAGACACTGGAGACTCAGAAGTGAGGGAGGGGAGAAAGGAGAAGGACAAAAATCTAGATATAGGGTAGAATGTACACTACTCAGGTGACGAGTGCACTAAAATCTCAGACTTTGCCACTATATAATTCATCCATAAAACCAAAAACCACTTGTACCCCTAAAGCTATTGACATTTTAAATAAATAAATAATAAAAATTAATGCGTAAACAAAAAGAAAAAGGGAGGCTGAATATATGTTTGTGTTACTTCAAAATCACACTCAAAATCCCATCAAGTGTGTTCAAAGAGTTATAATGTTTACTATATTTGTTACTTATAAAGCATGAATTAATACAGGGATTTCATTTATCAGCTAGTTGTAAAACATCTTTCACCATAGCAGGTGCTAGTCTATAAATTTTAATATTGAAAAATTTCCCTAAAAAGTTTAGAATATATATAACATATATGTGACACAATCTTAAGCCCTCTAGAAGAGTCATCTATGGTGATATAATCCACATCACTCTATAGTATTTTAGTAAACATGCAAATAAATAGCACACAATGCTACATATTAATCACTTTTCAAAGTGATTTTTTAAACATTATTTTGCTTTGTCTGATAAAGTTGGAAGCAAATGCCAGGGGGATAAAACCTGACATTAAATAGTCTGTAATCCAGGAGTTTGGGTTGTGCTTTACATCCAATCACACCCACCTAGGTTCATATTGATACACAAATGTATTTTCTTACAAAGCAGAAAGTGAATGTAGCAGATGGTTTTCTTCTTGTCTCCTAAGACTAATATAAAATGTGTTACTACTGTATAAAGGGGTTTTTTTCTTTCCTTTTCTTTTAATTGTATTTTAGGCTTTGGGGTACATGTGAAGTACATGCAAGATTGCTGCATTGGTACACACATGGCAGTGTGATTTGCTGCCTTCCTCCCCTTCACCTATATCTGGCATTTCTCCCCATGCTATCTCTCCCCAACTCCCCACCCCCACCCCCCGCTGTCCCTCCCCTATTTACTACAAGGCTACAGTAATCAAAACAGCATGGTGCTGGTACCAGACGGAGATATAGACTAAAGGGGTTTTAAAGATAATTTTGAATGCACCATGGGATAATATGGCAAATGGGAGAAATGAGGCTGCTCTGAGCATCTAGGGTGGAGTGAAAGAAAATATGGAGTATTTAATGATAGAGTTTGCGCAGATAAATTTATAGTACATTCACTTAGGTGCAGAAAATAAGGAAAGGTGAATGAGTAACATTGGGAGGGAGGTGGATCTCCCAAAATCCCAAAACAACAGTAAGAGGACTCACTCTAGTGAGAATATATAGAAGCCATTTTCATAATGGAAAAGATTTATCCAAATCACTAATAAAATTAATTTTGAAGCATAACTAAAATCAATAATCATTGGCAGAAATTATTTTGAACTTCTACTAAAATGCCAAATTAATGGCAAAATTATTAAAGAACAGTGATAAAGAAAAGTGCTACAGAGGAAGAATTTGAGTCTAACAGACTGTTTTGTGTTTGTTGGCTACTGTAGTCTGATGCTTACCTAGCAATAGTCCCCAGATTATTATGGTTTGTGCTAACTATGAAACAGTCCTTGTTTCATTGATTTGTACACTTTTGCTCAATTGAAGTCAACAGAATGGGCCACAACGGAAAGTGGAAGTCTCTTTTGCTTAATTTATTTGCCACAGTAATACCATAAAGCCAACCATAGGAATCTCACTCCAGTTTGGAGTCTAATGACTGAATGAAGAGGTAGAAAATCAAAAGTGGCAGCCAACACATGACAAGAATCTTCATAAAGCAATATTAGAAAGTATCTTGAATAATGTCATCCATCTATAATGGCTACACTTTCAAACTGCCTGTATACAGAGGGTTGACTAGATGACTTTCACAACACAAATACATTTTTAGAAATTTGACCTCATTTCAGTATCATTCACTATGCTTTACACGCAATCCAGAATGCTGTACACATATGATATTCCTTGCTCTCTAGAAGTTTATGTTCTAAACAAAATCCTAGAAACCTTATTTCCCCATAAGGCTGACTTTTATGTGTCTCATTTGATTACAGCACAAGCATCTACACCAAAAGTTCAATTTATATCTCGAAGAAGGGGAGGGAGCAAGGTGAAGAGAAACAACTGAATTTGAACCCATAAAAGTTATTTAATACATGTCAATATTATACCTAAAAAGTAATCTAATGAATTCATTCTTTATGTACATAGCAGAATATTATCAACAAATTTATAGAGTATTGTTGTATCAGGAATCATGAGAGCACAAAGAAGTGTAAGACATCTGATTCCTGTTCTTTTTTTAAAGGGTCCGATTCTCCCTCTCATTAGGTCCAATTCTCCTTCTCATAGCCACATGTACAATGACAACACTCTCCAACTCAAGAAACTGCAGGACAAACATATACACCCCCATAGGTGAGTGGGAAAAGTGCAGTACATGACTCATCACCATTTAAAACAGTTCCATCACTGATGGTCTACTGGAATTACTCCATCATCTCCCTGTAACTTTGGAGTTTACTTTAAAAACCCTCTAGGCTAGGTGAGGCTAACATTATTTCCAGTATCATGTAAACCACTGACATGAAAACATTAACATGAGTTTAAAACTACGCAAAAATATGTAAAAAGAATCTACTTTTCTACAAATGCACGTAATAAGGAATACTTCAACAAGATATATACATTAAATTTTATTAGTTTTTATTGTTTCCATTAACTCGGATATCACTAACAGTTGCAGAGTTGTTTTCTTTTATTAAATGGTTAAAAGGCCTTCAAAGCTAGAATACAATTTGCCCTTCTCTGAGGAGTGACTGTTTAAGAGGGATCATTAGCTGTAATGTGGAATATGAAGGCATGCCTCTCCCATCAACAGCTGACAGTCACATGAGGTAAAGGTAGAACATCAAAGAATAAGGACTTGCTTGTGAGGTGGAACTCAACAACTATCATTTTTAACATGCTTTTAACCATATGACATTTCAATCACTTAATTTTTTTACTGTACTGATATCTTAGTTGTCCCATTTTTTAAATAAAGAATATACCACTAACTGACTAGAAAACAATTACTACACACCCATACACATAAAATTCTATAAATAATTTGTGGGTAGAGGAGAAGGATGTTAAAGTGATCTCTTTCTGAGATTTTAGAGGTTGTTTCCTCATTGTGTTCCCACATAAATACTTTCATTGCAGATATTTCAAACATTATGTCAGACGTATACAGATAAAAATACTGGAGTATGTGTTCTGAATGTGTTGGTAAAGAAAGTCACTTCATTTGAGAGGTCTCTGCCCCTTCAACTTCACCCTCCTTACCAATATACATTCATCACTGAAAAGGGAAATATTTACAAAAGTTAGTTTAGTTATGTTTAAATATTATGTTTAGCTGTCTGGAGACCATGTTCTCAAGATTTATACAAGAAATCAAGGATTAAACTTCATAACAATTAGAAAACCACACTGTGTAAAATCAAAGACTTAGTTAAAGGAAATTAAAATAGTTTTACCATCGGTGCTAAACTGAAATGGCTCCATCTCTTCCCAACACCTGGATCAAAACCTTTTGCACTTTCATGTAAACAAACCAGGGCATGCAAAATGCTCTGTCTGCAGTAGGGTACCACCTCTGCACAGGCATTTGGGTGAAAAATGTGGAAAATGCCTAAGGACTCTTTGAAGCAGCTTAGAAGAAGTGAGAGCAGGAAAGAGGCTCTTCTCTAGGGTAAGTTTGTTTAGTAGAAAGTAAGCAATTTGTCAGGGTAAAAGTTGACAATGTTGATTCCAACAGTTTGAACTGTGAATAAACATCCAAAGGGATTATGTTACTGAGAATTAGAAAAGATTCCACTAAACTTAATAGAACACTTGTGTTTTCAAAGATAATATGCCTTCAAGCCATACTCTGGAGCCTTGGTTTAGGGTTAGAATTACCCTAAGCCCTTCCTATGCCACATTAAAGAACACAAGGTCTGACCCCTCTAATAAATGCCTAAAAATATTACACTAAAGATGGAATAAAAATATTTCATTTCTGCTTATTGAATTGGAAAATACCCACCCCCCACACACTCACATATTTATATACACACACATGCACACATACATATGAAGTTGACTTAAAAAACTTGAAGAAACATCTATGCTCCTCCCAAACATCTAAACTTAAACCCAGTTTCAGTAACCAACTTAGGGAAATACATGTATTGGCCATAAATCACTTTTAACGTTTCCCTTCTTAATGACCTATCAAAGAGCAAAAAACAGGGCCTATACTTATGAAATCCATAATCCCCTTCTCTGCTCACCAAAGCTACATTTAAGTCTGGCTTTCATCTCATGCTTTTGGGTTTTTCAACCAGGTACAAGATGAAAAGTTAGAACAGTCCTGTGCTTTTCTAAAAGCAAAACAATTTGGTTGCCACTCAGCAATTCCTGGTGACATGCCAAGAAGCCTGTAAAAAAAAAGTTATAGTTTTCCTAACTTAGAACTTACAAAAATAAGTGTGAGATGGTCATAGCCTGTCAGACAATCCATCTTTTTATTTTTTAATATTCATAAACAAAGGAAAACACATAGTTTTGATTTGTTAAAGTTGATTTGGGTCAATATAATATAGGTCTGCCTTACGTGGTCTCAAGAAAATGGAGGTAACTTGGACTGCTCTTCTGAGTTCACCTCAAATCCTTAATGATTCTCACATGAGATTCTGCTCTTACAATGTTTTCCAAAGCCTGACAAAAGCATGCAGCTCGTTTGCTCATTACCAGCAAAGTTTGCAAGCAGCCTACAAAAAATTCTTTCTCATTGTAACTCTGACACATTTTCACTTTCCTCCTAGAACCAAGAATGTAAGGAAGCACGGCTCAGTCTCATAGCCTCTTTGCTCTTAAAAAGAAAATCAAATTCCCCAGATATTTCCAGACTCCACCAAGAATAGAACATTCTCTGCTCTGCCTAAGGACCATTATCTCTTTTACATTTCATCTTTATATTCACTGGGTTCATAGAAAGGGCATACACAGAAAGAGGAAAATAGCTGCTTCTTAAAAGACACCAAATTTAGTAATTCTCTCAAATCTACTGGCACACATGTAGAAAGTCATATTTTTAAAGGCTTCATTAGGTTTTTACTGGTTCTGTGTTTTGAGAAGAAAACACATGCTAAATCACCCATAATTTCAAGTCAAAATATATCTGCAAACTACAAGGAGTATTTGTAAAAGAAAGACAAGTCATCACAATTTAAAAAGTGATAAAGTGAGTGGAGACAGACAGGTGCATACCCCAAGTAACAAGTTGCTAACTGAATGCTCTAAGATTTCAACCAACTCCAATAGCCTTACCTGTTAATATGAGATTACTGTAAGTATTGGAGAATTGCTCCTTTAGAAGAACCAGATGCATCTGAGCTGCCTTCTCCCTTTGGAGCTCCAGCATAACATCAGGGTGCTGGGCAATCTTGCAGCCTTTCTGTTTATCTAAGGCAACATCACTTCGAACAATGTCTACGAAAAGAAAGAAAGAAGGCAGGCAGCAAAAACTAAAACAAAATAAAAAACAATATACCATCAAAGTCTTGCTTTACCCAAAATGACAGAATTAATAAGCTACTGGCATTTTCATTAGCCTAAACAGATGCAGAAGTAATCAGTCAGAAGGCTCTCCAACTCCATGACACATCTTGAAAGTTCCTCTGGTCATTTTCAAATTCTTGGGAGATCTATCTGTTTCTTAGCTCTCTCTGACATAATTTAAGATTCTCACTCCTCAATTGTCCTTCCTGGTTCACCTTCAGGACTTATTTATGCCATTTTCCATAGGAAAAAGTATTATAATACAATTTTGAATACAGCGACTATGTAGGTCATTCTCTCTACCTCATGCTATAGGACCAGGTGATAGCTTCAGCATGTGTATTTAGGGTACTTGGTCTCCAGAAAACAGCTCCCTCAAAAATAAAAATTCATACAGAATGCTTCCCAACTAGCAGGAAGCTCTCATGCCCTAAAGTTATTTATTAATTTTTACATAATTATGTATTTTATATAATACATCTATTAATTTACTATTAAATCAATTTATTAAATTAATTTGATTAATTTATAATTGTTAGATTAATTTATTAATTTAATTAATAAGTAATTAGTAAAATAAATTGACTTAATATGATTATTAATTTAATTTAATTTAATTGATTAAAATATGATTCAACTGATTCTCACAGGAACAAATGATACTATCAGCAGTAACCTAGGTGGAAACTCTAAAAACTTTCAAGTTCTGCATAGCAAAGCTAAAGAATTTTAATAGAAGAAGTTAAAAAATAAATGCTTTGCCACTTTTGACACCAATGATTTTGGATAGTACTAAAAGGAAAGATATGCTCAGTGACACTTAAGAGAAAATATAGGTTGTATGGCAAAAAGGGCATAACACTGTTCTGGAGAAGTAGTCTTTTCTTTTATATTTCTAAAGGAAAATCCTAGCTACAAATACAAATCCATCACTATGAGAGTTAGGATGTGTGGCACACAAAGATAAGCCAGATGTGAAAATGATCTTCACTAATTCTCAGGTTAAAACAGGAGAGCTGAGTAGAAATAATGCAATATTTATGTCTAAACATATATACACCAATTTCTGGAATATGGGAAATAAAGTGAACTCATTTAACATAAATAACTAGTCTCACAGATTTTCTGAGACTTAAATACAAAAATTGAATAAATTAGTGCAAGAGTATACTAGCTTTTAAGACAATCACATAGAAGTCAGGAAGAATAATACAGTTTAAATTGATATAAATTACATTCTTTAAAACTTCTTGGATTATATCATCTCATTCAATCCTTCCAACAATACTACCAAAGTAAATAGCAGATATTATTGATGGCTGACCCAAACCCTAAACACAATCCTTTCTCCCTTGCCTTCATCTATTATAGAGACTTAAAAGCTACAATATACAATTTCCTAGCTTTCCTTGCAGAAAAGGGTAATCATGTAACATGGTTCTGGAAAATGAGCTGCAGGCAGACTTCTCCAAAAGGGAGACTTTCTTTGACAAATTAAAAGACAGAGCCTTACTAAGAGAAACTCAGTTTTTCCCTTTAGCCCCTTAGTCCCTCCTATTTTCTACCTCTGAAACATAGTCATGAAGCCCAGAGTTCTAGTAGCCACTTTGTAGTCTTGAGTCAAGAAGCAAGAGTGGGGGTCAGACACAGTGGTTCACCCCAGTAATCCCAGAACTTTGGGAGGCTGAGGCAGGTGGATTACTTGAGGTCAGGAGTTCAAGACCAGCCTGGCCAACAGGGTGAAATCCCATTTCCACTAAAAATACAAAAATTAGCCAGGCATGGTGGCACATGCCTGTAGTCCCAGCTACTCAGGAGGCAGAGGCAGGAGAATCACCTGAACCCAGGAGGCAGAGGTTGCAGTGAGCCGAGATCGTGCCACTGCACTCCAGCCTGGGCAACAGACATCATCTCATAAAAAATAAAACAAAAAAGAAACAAGAGTGTAAAGGATTACACACTAAAGGTGTTAAACAGAAAAATGGAAAGAGCTCAAGTCCCTAATGTCTTTATTGACCCAGCATACCTGTGCTAGACTGCCTATCTCTTAATTTCTTGCCATATGAGACAAACATACTATTTATGTAAGTCATTAATAGTCAGTTACCTGTTTTTAAAATCTTAAGCTGTTGTATAATCCTAAATGATAAAGAACACTATTATTATCACTATCTTAAATACAAGAAAACTTTGTACTGCAAGTCAAGCTTTTGTACAAAGCTTGACTTGCACAAGTTCACATTACCTGGTCAGTCCTCAAATCCAGGTATGTTCAAAGCCAAGATCAGTGCTCTTTCCAGAAGTTACTCCTATATGAAAACTTATGAGCTTAATAGTAGAATTATGCTAAACAATAAAAGGAAGAACTAAAAAGAAAAACTGAATTATACTGTTACAATGGTGTTCCATAGATAGTCCATGTGGAAAAGAAATATGGATGATGTTTTCTCAGAAAAGATGATAAAACCTGTATCAAAACATGCCATAAAAAGTGAAGGATAGTTTCAATTATCCTGATTCTTCTGATATAAGTTTAATTTGAAGATAACACCAACTAAACTCCCTGTTTCCTATCTAAAAAAAAATATATTGCTCAGAAAGCAGCAGAAGCAACAATAACTTACATCCTCAACATCATTCCAACAAGAACCTTGCAATAAAGTGATGACATTACCTTTATATTAATAACAGTCAGAAAACTATGAACACACCCAAACATATGTCCTCAACTTTAGATAAGTAGATTTCAAAAATGTTTAGAGAAAAAAATAGATGTACCATATAAAAAGAAAAAGTATAGATTCCTTATTCAATTCTAATCATTTTAAATTGTATCAAAGACTAGATAAATACAAAGCAAAAATACTTATCAAAGATGCACATGGTAATATATCTGGAGGAAGAGTTAGTATCATATATGACACACTCGAAATTCAAAATTATCTTGGCAATCTAAAAACTTACCCTGAAATCCCAAAAATGGAAGGTAAAGAGATGAGCACAAAGGCCTACATTTATACTGAAAATTAATAACATATGATTTAAGAAGGAAAAGCCAGACAAACAGGAGCTCATATACTTAAGATCTTATTAAGATTCTTAGGCTTTAGTTGAATATCAACTTAATATAAGTCAGTGCTATGATATTGCTGTCAAAGTGATTAATGCAATCTTAGTCTAAATTAATAGAACAAGAACATGCATAATAAAGAAGGCAACACAGTTGTGCTACATTCATGGCTCCCAAGTGCAGCACAGTGAAGAGTTTGGAGTCAAGCAGACCTCTGTTCAAATCCTGGTTTGGTACCCACTTATTAGTTACAAAAGTGGTAGACAAAACACCTTTCTAAGATTTCATTTCTTTATCTACTGTTATTATACAGATGCACTAAAGGCATTGCACTATTCATACAATAAGAGCACAATGAAGAGCACCTATAATTATTTTTGTTATTAGTATCCTGCTTGTGGTACTATATATTTCCAGCTATAATAGTCTCAGATAGATCCTGATAAATATATCCAAAGAAAAGTACAAATATGGAAAATAATGTTGATCTTTTAAAGTAGCTGAAATTACAAGAAATAATTAAGATCAGAGCAGAACTGAAAGAGATAGAGACACATAAAAACCCTTGAAAACCTCAATGAATCCACAAGCTGGTTTTTTGTAAAGATCAACAAAATAGACTACTAGCCAGACTAACAAAGAAGAAAAGAGAAAAGAATCAAAGAGACACAATAAAAAACGATAAAGGAGATATCACCACTAATCCCACAGAAATACAAACTACCATCAGAGGACACTATAAACATTCCTACACAAATAAATTAGAAAATCTAGAAGAAATGACTAAATTCATGGACACATACACCCTCCCAAGACTAAACCAAAAAGAAATTGAATCCCTGAATAGACCAATAACCACTTCTGAATTTGAGGCAGCAATCAATAGCTTACCAACAAAAAACTGTTCCGGACCAGATGGATTCACAACCGAATCCTACCAGAGGTACAAAGAGAAGCTGCTGCCATTCCTTCTGAAACTATTCCAAACAATAGAAAAAGAGGGACTCCTCCCTAACTAATTATGAGGCCAGCATCATTCTGGTACCAAAACCTGAAAGAAACAAAACAAACAAACAAAAAATCAGGCTAATATCCTTAAGGGACATCAACGCGAAATCCTAAATAAAATACTGGCAAAACAAATCCAGCAGCACATCAAAAAGCTTGTCCACCATGATCAAGTTGGCTTCATCCCTGGGATGCAGGGCTGGTTCAACATATGCAAATCAGTAAATGTAATCCATCACATAAACAGAACCAATGACAGAAACCACATGATTATCTCAGCAGATGCAGAAAAAGCCTTAAATTCAACAGCCCTCAATGCTAAAATCTCTTATTAAACTAGGTATTGATGGAACATATCTCAAAATAATAGTTATTTATGACAAACCCACAGCCCATATCATACTGAATGGACAAAAACTGGAAGCATTCCCTTTGAAAATCAGCACAAGACAAGGATGTCCTCTCTCACCACTCATATTCCACATAATATTGGAAGTTCTGGCCAGGGCAATCAGGCAAGAGAAAGAAATAAAGGGTATTCAAACAGAAAAAGAGAAAGTCGAATTGTCTCTGTTTTCAGATGACATGATTGTAAATTTAGAAAACCCCATTGTCTCAGCCCCAAATCTCCTTAAACTGATAAGCAACTTCAGCAAAGTATCAGGCAAAATCAATGTGCAAAAGTCACAAGCATTCCTATACACCAATAACAGACAAACAGAGAGCCAAATCATGAGTGAACTCCCATTCACAATTGCTACAAAGAGAATAAATACCTAGGAATACAACTTACAAGGGATATGAAGGACCTCTTCAAGGAGAACTACAACACACTCCTCAAGGACATAAGAGA